GGTCGCAGTTGATCTGTAATAGGTATGGATGAGACGTGATTCACAGATTAATTTGCCAATTTACATGTACAAGCAATTTTAAACCACAAGAAGAAGAAACGAAACAGTTCGTTACTCATGCGATGTGCTCGCACACAATCAAAGCGTGCACTAGCATAGAGACGTGTTTCAGACAGCGCGGAAATACCGAGTTGCGTATACATAGGCCTACATATAAAATTAGAATGTCAAAAACCCATCACGGCATTGTGATTCTCTGTGCTCTAATTTTTTATTTTTTCTTGCTTATCCGAAAAAATAGTCCGATCTGTGACTCAAAAAAAACCAAAAAACACAATATAATGCGTTGAACCACTATATAATGCTATTATACATTCACTCCCCCCACCTACAATCCCTGCCGGTACGAGACACAAACCCGCAACCTTTGGGTTACGAGTCCGACTCTCTAACCATTAGGCCACGATAGCATAGCAACAGTGTGACCACATAGCAACAGTAACTAAGGGGGGGCGGGTCTTTGCAAACGGTCAATTGATTATTGAAAAGAATTTTAAAAATTTACCGCTGAACGATAACCAGAATGATAAAAGCTATGATGGAGACAGCTGACGCGAGAGTCGCAATGAGGAAGTACAGGAGAAATGTAACTAGATGTGGCGCAAGAGGTTCTGAAAGAAAAACATACATTAATAAGGTTTATACCAAGGGTGTCCAATCCTGCTCCTGGAGGGCCAACATCCTGGAAGTTTCTAGTGAATCTAAAGACCTTGATTAGCTGGTTCAGGTGTGTTTAATTAGGGTTAAACTCTGCAGGATAGTGACCCTCCAGGAACAGGTTTGAACACCCCTAATTTATACAATGTATGATGTTATCTTGTATTGTACAACAAAGATATATAGATATGTAGGGAGTGGAGTCGTCTCAAACCAGGCCGTGTGGTCCAGTAGACGGGGTCGCTCCACTCTGAGGGATATCCAGAGTAACGCCATCCTGAACGTCTGGATGCACTCACATTACAGCGAACCTGAGCATGATACTCTGAGGAACCCTTGAGAGAACGCTCTGATATTGCAAACACCATCTCTCCGTCAGAGAGAAAGATGCTCTTTACATCCTCCTACAGACAAAGATTAAGTTAACACATGCATGAGAGAATGAAAGTGGGTGTTTGTACAGCTATGGCACTTTTGGCCTTGTGGACTTTTAGAAGATACATTAAACCCTCTTAAAGCACATTTTTGAGAAAACGTATTTATTTGTCTACTAACAATGTACAAAAGTGGATATACATAAAAGTGGATATACAAAAATTAGTAATTCAAGTAATATTTTCCTTGATTTTATATTTTCCTCACATATCAGAAGTTTCATATCTGTTGTCCCCTTGGTAAACAAGTAAACTAAGTAAAAAAAAAAAAAACCTGTATTAGTTGCTAAATTGTTAATTTTTGTGGAAAATGCAAATTTGGTTTAAAAATTGATGTTAATCATTATACAATAAAAGTAGTAAAATGTATATATGAAGACATAGTGAAAAATATCAATGTGACCTTCATATATCCAGAGCTGGGTAGATTATTTACAAATTGTAGTCCATTCCAGATTACATGATGAAAACTGTAGTTAGTGACGTAATCTGGATTACTCATTTTAGGTAATGTATTCTGATTACTTTTAATATTACTTTTGATTAATTTAATTATGCTTGTTTTAAATTAAAAAAATAAACGCATCATATTGATATAAAAAAGTTAAAAGAAAGAAAATATATTAAATTTTTGATATCAACATTATAAAATGCATTAAACATTACATTAGTGAGCTGATAAGAGAGTGCATAGTGAATAGTTGATAAAAACCTAATAATTAAATCATAAAAATGTAAAATAAAAGCACTTAAACACTAAAAATATAAATATTTTATTTGTTTATATGCACGTCAATGCAACAATTTAACAACATCAGAGGACTATAAACGTGAATGTGTTGTTAAATTATTGAAATATTAACTTTCTCAGCAATATTTCAAGAAAATATTACATTATAAGAGTTCGGCTGACAAAAATGTTTGGGAATCCCTGCTTGACATGAACAAACATTAACAAACATGAGAACAACAACATTACACGCCCAAAGTCTTCCATGTTTGAAATATTTTTGTTCAGACTTAATAATTTACTGCCACTGTGTGAATAATATGTAATCATGTAATTGTAATCTGATTATAAGCATTTTAAAATGTAATATACTCCAACTACAAGTACTTAATTTTTGGAATCTGATTACTTAATCCAGATTACATGTAAACAGTTACTATCCAGCACTGCATATATCAAGAAAGTTAAAAAAACACCATTAAAATAATAAATATTTAAAAAATATTGCATAGACAAACAATATTTAGTGTTTTATCTTGTATTTTAGACTATATATATTACGTCATGCACTAGAAAAAAAAATTGCACATCTTGTGCCTAAATAGGAGCTGTATGTAAAAACAACAAAAATTCATAAAAATAAAAAAGTAACTTCATATACATAAAAAAAATATATATAAAATTTGTTATAAACAAAAAAAAAACTACTGGGATTTTCCTGCCAGTTTAAAAGATGAAAAAACACCCTTATATATTTAATACTCACAGGAGTTAGTAGGCTCAAGTACTTGAGTTCAGTAGTGAGAGGTACAGTACGATACTTTGTTAAAGTCCAGTTCAAAATCCAGTCTTCTCCTCTCAGTTCAACGCTCAGACCCGCGGGACATGCAGGCTGGACTAGACCACAAAAACCACCGATACAGACCAGATCAATAACAGCTCTGAGAATCTGTAGAGGTTTTGATTAAACAGCTTTCTGGAATACTTGATTCTGATTAGCCTGGCAAGTATTTTTAAAAGGGGGTTTTATTTGTAGAGGTACAAACTGTGTTCGTAAGAGCGGATCACTTTGGTCACCGGCATTGGCGTGAGTTGCACCTGCAGCACTCCAGGCTCAAAGACACTGAAGACACCAACCATCCTCAACAAAGCTCCTTTATTTGTGACCTCCACCTTCTCAACACAGCACCACTCGTTCCTAAAAGAGAAAGATCACACCAGTCAGAGCTAAAGACACCGTTTACACCATCTAAAACGCTCTCGAACACTCACGGTGCAGTGGAGTGTGTCCGGTAGGACAGTGTGTAGCTGATGTACTGGGCCAGATCTGTTTTGAGATCCCAGCTACAGCTCAAATTATTCCCGTCACTGAGCATACAGTTTAGGTTAGATGGACCAGGGAGTGAGTCTGAAACAAATAATGGTCAATATTACTCCAGGACACTAGAGGGCTCCACTTGCCTAAAGATAAAAGACTTCCACTGGGTTTTCCTTTATACTCACACTCAGATATCAGTTCTGGCCTGTCAGCCAAGACCTCAGTTTTATTCCCGCCATCTTCCACATGTTTCTGTGTTGACTTGTTGTGAATGTTCCCGCCATTTTTGTCCTTGATTATTTCATGGTCAATTTCCAGCTACAAAGGTACAACATACGATTCATTTCGACACTTAAAAACAACAAAATCACTTTATGTTATGTTTAAACCTCCAAAAAGCATGAAGAACTCTTGTAATATAAGTCTTTTCAACAGTCTCATGGCTGCTTGTAGCTATTTTACGTTTTATCGAATTGATGACTAACACCGTGTCCTAATCAGATGTGACGCGACGCAACAAGATTCCAGCGACAAGCAATTTGGCTGTCCACACCAGACGCGAAATAACATGACGCGACAGAATCACTCTATATCACAGCTATTTCGAAGCGCAGCTTCCCAACGAAATGGACAAGTTTATAACCTAATTCATAAATATTAAACCTTTTTAACATTATTAAAATACATACTGAGTGACTCATACCATCTTTGTTGGAATACGAATTGTTACACTTGTTGGCTCGCATTGAGTTCGCAGTTTTAATGTACGTTTGCTTTAATTTATTTTCAAAATCTGAGGTACACTATCTATTGTTGATTTCAGTATGGCCATAAAGGTCACGCAAAATGATATTTTTATCTTTTAACACTTTTAACTTTTAACATTGAATAAAGCACATTATCAGTACCTGAGATTATCATTGTTATAGTTTGTATGCTGTTGTTCCGGCCGCGACATCTAAAATAGAATCTTCGTGTGTCGCCGTCGCTGCTGGTTAGGAAAATATATCTTTTATCGTGTGTCGCAGGAATCGCGTCGCGTGTATTTAGGACAGGGTGTAATTTGTGTGAAATGTTATGTTTTTGTAAGATCTGATTATACAATAACATGAAGGTAAAAATTATGTTTTCATACGATCCACTTCATACGAAATCACCAACTTGTAAAACCAAGTGTGCCGCACACGTCCTGAAAAGTGAAGCCAAAACATTTTGACCGCCATCTGGTGGCTGGCTGAAGTATAACGAATACTTAAACGAATGGGACGTAACCGAACTAAAAAAAATCTAAATGCATTTGAAATAAATTTTGCCAAAAGATAGTTTCCATCATTTTAGGTAGTTTTTTTTTTTTATCACAGTGATGTACGTTCAAGTGTTTGTTTTTCTAATAAAACTGTGTTTAGTTCGTAAAAAAAAAAAAAAGGGGTGTGGTGTCATGATTGTGATCTTGTGATTGGGTCTGTGAGAGTTTGGGCGGGACTTTGATACCGCGGCTCCACCTCACGATCACTACTGCGCAGATCATATCAAAATGACGTCATTTTCGCAAGATGACAGCGGCCATACTGGGTTTTGGCTTCACTTTTCTATAGTGGAAGGATGTGAAGATGCATTATCCATTAAAGCAATAAGCCCTGTGAGGCCGTGGTTTACAGTGAATTTATAACAGCTAAGGGGCATTGTTAGGCACGACGCGAAGCGAACCCCCTTAGCTGTTATAAATTCACTGTAAACCACGGCCTCACAGGGCTTATTGCTTTAATGGATAATGCATCTTCACATCCTTCCACTATAGAAAAGTGAAGCCAAAACCCAGTATGGCCGCTGTCCCAAACAATGTAGTTCCTCAGAAACGGTTGTGGTTCCAACAAAGTGGTTGCCGAGCAACACACAAATGTAAACAAAAGTGTATTGCTGCGTCCCAATTCGCCTACTTATACTATGCCCTAAAAGTATGTACTCTTTTTGTTAAGAAAAAGTACATACTTTTTAGTATGTAGCAGAATAGTAGGCAAGCTTTGGGACATACTACTTCGTCCTAACTGTGTCTTTAACGGACGCTCTGTTGCTTAGTTACATGCATTCTGTCACTGTTTAAACTGCACTGTAATCATCTTGTCTCATCGAGGCACATTTAGTTTAATTCAATTTCCTACCGTATTGGAGAGAAATCTGCCAGTCGCGGGTCTATCATGCCGAGAACTCTCTTCATGTATGCATAATGATGCATTTAAAAGTTAATGACCAAACATTTAAACCTAAATGTTCACAATGTTGCTGCAGATGAAATATAACGCGCCTAACATTAAATAAATATTTTTAATCAGGTTAGACATTGATTATGTAACTCCCTGTACAACCTGTTTGCACATTCTTCTCTTGTACATTCCTATTCATTAATAAAGAGCCAACTATTTACCTGCATTTAAAGACTTCTGTAACATGAACGATTACTTACATTTCACTGCTGGTCATATATATTCTCTATATAACCATGTATGTGACAAATAAAAAATCTTGAATCTTGATTATTTATCACTCAAACCCCAGTCTCTGCCTGTCCGTCGCTCTCGCATATCTGCCATGTTTGTAGTTTTTAAACACATTTTATGCGTGTTTGTAGTTCTAATCGAATCCTCGTCCACCGCGCAATGCGTTGTGGGTAATATTAGCCGTTTCAACATACTATGATTTGGGACATACTAATTCTATTTTCGAATACTATTTAGGATGGATAGTATGCGAATTGGGACGCAGCATATGTTTGTAGAGTAATTTACAACAGCTTCGAACTTGGCTCAACCAATCAGAATCAAGGACCGGAACTATCCACTTTATACGTTTCTTTACAGTCTATGTGTAAAACAGTCACGTTTTCTTGAAAGATCATGTTGGTCTTTTTGACCATGAGGAAGTCAGAAATCATTTTCAAAGACATTCTCGTGTCAGTTTAGCATGACCTTTGACTGAAAGTGTGGTCGTTTTGACACTCACTGAGCGCTCTTGGTCATGCTGTCTGAAGGGGTCAGAGGTCAGAGGTGAAGGTGGTGGAGTGTCATCTAGCTGGTAAAAATTCCAGTATGGATCTGCATCTTCTATAGGGAAGTCAAGAGTAGACTTAGCTTCAGCATTACATAAATAGCCAATGCTTAGGTATGTCTATGGTATAAATCTATTGTACAAATTGTACCAAATTTTGTGAGTCTGAAGGTCCTGGAAATGCCGGAAGAGTGTGCCATGTGGAAGAAGAACAAGTCATCAAAGCCGATGGCAAACAGAGATGTGTTATACTGACAATAAACTCTCTCCATCCCAGTGGGATTCTGGGAAGGGTTAGGAGTCGGAACACAGGGCGATACTCTGAAATAAAGCAAAAAATCATAAAAACAAGCAATCATGAGATATATTTTAGTCTTTTAGCTTATTGTATGTGTCACAGATTGATCATGAATCAGTTTTTAGATTTTAAACTGTGTGATTTTCAAAGCATTTTCCTAAACTACTTGTCCAACTATTATTTTACTCTATTATGACTCTAATTAAATTAATATAATATACTATTAATTTGTAATAACATAACATTTCTAGTATATTATACTGTATTCACTGAATTGCTTAAATGTTTTAAATATTAATAAATAAATGTAATATAATAAAATGAATAAATATTAAATGATTAGTTTTATTACCAAAAATATTACATTAAGAATAGAATGCTGTATTATATTATATTATATTATATTATATTATATTATATTATATTATATTATATTATATTATATTATATTATATTATATTATATTATATTATATTATATTATATTATATTATATTATATTATATTATATTATATTATATTATATTATATTATATTATATTATATTATATTATATTATATTATATTATATTATATTATATTATATTATATTATATTATATTATATTATATTA